TATCAATATATTTTTGAAAAACAAAGGTGGGGAACCAATTCAATAGTAAATTCTTGAGAGCCAATTCAAAGGTAGTTTTTAACGGTACAAATATTGACTACTTTCATGTGTTTGGTAGCTAATTCAAATGCTCTCGTCCAAATAAATATTTTGGTTTTCTATACATTTTATACCCTGGGGTTCGGGTTCACATTGTAACATTAGTAACGCCCGATTATAAGAGGTGATTAAAGAGAGGTAGCGGAGGGCATCAGAAATCGTTATTACCGACCATTGGCGATTTGTGCAACGGATGTAACGGTTATGGTAGGGTTTAAAAATGACAGCTCGAGAATAACTTAAATTCTGGCTCATTAACTGCGTTGCAGAAAATAAGGGAAAATATCTCTACTATTTTCAGTGTTTGGGAAATTTATTTTAAGAAGTAAGTAATGTAAGTATAATAGAAATTTCTGAGCTAAAAAAAGTAATCAACTATCATTTATCATTCATTAGTTTTATAGTGAACGCATTCCCCATTCACACTTCTTAAAATTTGAAATGCATCTCAACTCTCAAGTTTATATCAAATAATAATAATAATAATAATAATAATTGTTTACAAAAATATTGTAAATAAAACAAAAAACTGCGTAAAATAATATTATATTACTCACATGCTATGCAAAACGATCGAAACTTTTTTTCCGAAGAATTTATGATAATCTATTTACCCGAAGGTTTATAGTACGACGTGCGTGTTTGTGCGTATTTATGAACCGATAAAATAATGCGAATTTACTAATAGGTGGCAGTAGAGTGTATACACGTGTATTGCGATATTTGTTTTTTGATACGCTGGGAGCTTATAATATGGCGTCTCATCCTAACCTGTCAAAAATGTCCCATCGATTTCTATATTATAATATTAATATATTGAAACATACAGATACGTTCCTATCCGCCCAGGGAGTGATTACGACAAAAGACAAAGAAAGACGAGGTGGTTAAAGAAATATAATATATTAATATAATGTCATAATTTATAAAAAGTCTTATAAGAAAAACTAATTAATACTGTAATATCGAAAACATCCATATAAAACAAGTACGTGTTACCGTAATTATATTATTATGTATGTCCAAAGATATTTTATAAAGGTATTTGAAAATTGGTGGCAATAAATATTTTTCAAGAGCTCGACAATTTTGTATTATTTTCTTTCAAAACGTTTTGTGAAGGTACACTTAGTTTTAAATCTATATTGACTTTACTTGTACCTATATCAGATCTGTTGCAAAAAAAAAAGGGATTTAGATGTACACCTTAAGCAGCCTGAGCAGCCCTATTTAAATGATGTATTTCAAATAAAAAAATAATTATGAGCTTTCAAAGTTATTACCTAGCCTTTATATGTTCTAGAAATTTCAAATCAGTGTAAAAATACTTTTATAATAATTAGTAAGAATTTTCAACTCTAAACTTGCAATACTTATGAATACTTAAGGATGTCTTGAAATTCGTTTAACTTCGTTCTTCGTTCTGTTTTTTCTGGTCGTACTACCATTCATGTCATCGTCAAATCTAATAACCACAAAACAATCATAGCCATGAAATAGCTTGTAAACTAAAATTATCGTCATCCGCTTCCTAGAAATATTCCTAAATACGCCATTACATGTCGGTCATGACACTCATACGTCACCGATGTGTTTGACCGTATACGATATAGAACGATTGAATTATCAAGTGTGACAGTTTTTACTACCTACTTTATTATTATTAGAGTATGGCCAATCTAATTAACTTGGCACAAACTTTATTATCGTCTAATCGCATATAAACATACAGTTTGTAAAGTCAGTGTGGTTATTTTCTTATAAGACTTAGTCTTTTTATCATATATACTGTATGTTATACACATACGTGTATTATAATATTGCACGTTAAACCGAAACCGTTTATATTACCCGTGAGTCGCGACGAGCTAGTTTTACCGTAGCTGTAGGTATAATATATCATTTGAAATACGGTATTATGTTTACTCTTTACTAACTTACATTTAGGTAGTTATGCACTTTATCTTTATATTATAATATAAATAATGTAATCCAGAGACATGCGTGTTGAGAATTTCAAATTTAGAAACATTCTACAGCGAATAACAATATATTATCGAATAACAAAATGTGAAATGTTATCTTTTCAAAACAGTGACGTGCTATAGTGGTCTGAATTTTAAATTATCATACATTAGTAAATACAACTAAAATACGAGTTTAAAAAATTCTGCAAAAAATCAATTTCAATTATTTTGGAGCCACTAAATCCAAATATTTAAACAGAATTTAAATCTGTCCCTTAATTATGGAAATAATAGCAAATATTTTTTAGTTATTGAAATTAAATGCATAAATACATTAATAATTAGTTAATGAAAGATTAAATTTGTCTAATATTACTTATAAAATACTCATAATTATTAAAATTACAGACGTGTAAACAAAATTTGTGGGATCTTATATAGTAGAACATGCTCTATAAAACCCATATATTAATTATTATTAGACGATCCTCCTCAGCCCCCCCCCCTTATGGATACACCCATATTTCAAAATACATACTTTTAACTCTGTACAGTTTCGACAAACATAGCAAATAAAATATTGTAACGTATACAAAGCTATACTACAATATAAAGTATAGATATTTATAGTTTTCTACTTTGTTCAGAAAGACGAAATATCAAAACTGTAGGAACGACAGCATACACATTTTTTTTTTCGAAAATGTAATTACTCGTGAGGCAAATGATGGGTTCAAATATGGTCGTTTTCGCCGAACGCCTGTGGAAAACGTTACCAAATTGATATTTTACATAATATAACTCGTTAAACAAATCATCCGGAAGAAAACATTATATTCAATATCAAATTACCTATAATTTTGATAAATTACGTACTCCGTGTCAGTTGCTGCTGTTAGGCTTTAAAATGTAAAACTTGGCCACAGGATTACAGGATCTCAAGTTATTAAGAGGCTTTGGACGAAAATCCTATTGTGAAGCCTAAATAATTTACACTTCAAACTTTATCATACTTTATCAGAGAAATCATTATAAAGTTTATTATATTAGTTAAAAGTTATAGGTTCAAATTAATTTTCTAATAAAATCATTGATTTGATAGTGGGTTATTATAAAGTACACAATTTAATAATAATCAGTTAAAAAACCAATAATAATACCTATAAACATGAATAGGTATAACCAGACTTTCTAAAAATCATCTGCTGGTTTCAAATCATTATTAAATGATGAATTTCCTTTTTTACATGAAAATACATAACTATACGAAATAATGAAATAATAATATTTTCAATTCATTTTAAAAAAAATATTTTCATCTGATATTTCGGGGGGAGGGGAGGCTAAAGCTCGGAAACCTCCTCAATATGGTACATGATAAAAGTTATAAAGTTTGTTCGAATTTAGTGGAGCGAAAGTGAAATAATAATTCTTCTTTTTTCAATAATTTATTTGTGTAAATATTTGTTTACCAACGGCTTTAGATACTTTCAAGATGAAACTATTTTTGAAGGTTCCTAGAATAACATTTATATGTAATACGAGTTTATAGGCTTCAAAAGATTCGCGAACTAGTTTTAGGTATAAAGAAAAAAAATATTTCTTATAATCGAGTAGTATTAAATAACCCTTGCATCTGATTTTTTTTTTCTAATCAATTTGCTTAAAAACATTTCTGTAATCGATTTTAAATATAGAATTATTATACATAAAATCAGGTCAACGATCCTATATATTGAACTCGAGTACGCTCTTCGAATATAATAGAGTGTTCTATATAATGTGTAGATAAAACCAAAAACAATTTATTGAGTGATGGTATTTTTGTTTTTTTGAAATGATTCCAAGTTGCTTTGCGATTGTGTTCAATAAATCAAATAAAACTAAAAAAAGCGTGATACTGGGGATGAGTGTGCTATTGTTACTGATGACAAGTTAGAAAAGTAGAATACATAAAGCTATTTAATTTATATCTGTATGCACCGATAAACTATTTCTTCAGTAAAACGATTCTAAACAAAGTTTGGTTATACATGTTTTGAAATGTCATACTTTTTACGAATTTCGTCTAAATTCGATCTCAAAACACTTATTGAAAAAACTTTTATATAATAAACTGGTTTTTTTAACACTAAGTAAAATTAATAATGAACTTCGTGTTAAATTTTTAAGAATTTCTATTTTAAAAAATTATTTTATGCATGTAATACCTACCAAATGAAAACGAAAACTTGCCACGTCTAGAAATAGCCAATATAAGTATTTTGTGAAAATTTCAGTTCTCTATTATTATTTTTGACATAATTATATATATATATATAAAAAAAATGATGAAATCGTTAATTTTCTAAACTTTTTCGTTTTTGTTTTTTATTTTTTCCCGATTTCGCCCGATTACGAAGAAAACCACAAAGAAAATCAATAATTAATTTCTCATTTCTCATTACCCTAACTGGACCTAAAACACAACAAAAAAAATTTCTTGTTATTTTTTAATTGGAGCAAGATTTCTAGCATAAAAGTTGTTTACAGACAATTTGATTTTCCGTAGGTGAACAATGTTGAAAATGTTCGAATTTTGTAAAGTTAATTTTTAGTTTGAATATTGTTTCCTACTAAACTAATAATTTTATTTCGTAAATAACGAAAAACAAATACTGCAGCAGTGCGTCTCTCAGTTTTTGTATTTTTACAGAATGATCGAAGAACACTTTTGAAAAAAAAAAACACATATCTTATATCTTAACTCTATTGTCTGTACTCACGTGTTACTGGCTGAGATACGTTATGTTAATAGAAAAGAGTTGATATAAGCAGTATTTTCATTTTCACGATTTACAGTGTAACCACGAGTCTAACTAAAAAAAATGTGGAGCAAAAAATTTTTGGAAATACTTGTTTTATAATTTTTTTTTTTTTATGCTATACAGGCTTTTAAGGCCTTTTGCATGCTTCCATCAAGTTTCTCCATCCATTCCGGTCCATTGCGTCATCTAATCGTTTTGAGTTGTCAGTATTTAAAATATCCTTCTTTACCCTGTCTATCCATTTCTGGCGAGGTCTTCCTCTTGGCCGCATTTTTGTTACATTTCTGATTAAGACATTTTTTATAATATTTTCGTCAGCTCGCCAGACGTGGCCAGCCCATTCCAAGCGCTTTGCCTTCAAGAATAATCTTATATTCGGCTTGTTAAATAATATTTCCAGATCTTTATTTTTCCTTCCCTCATATTCACCATTTTGAAGTCGAACAGGTCCGTGAATTTTCCTTAGGACTTTCCTTTCGAAGGTAAGTAATTTTTCTTTGTCTCCTTGTGCCGTAGACCATGTCTCACATGCATCACATGCATACATTACTATGGGACGTAGAAAAGAAGTATACAGTTTCTCTTTCGTTTCTTTGGACAAAAGTTTAGAGCTTAGCATCTTATTCATGGCTAAATACGCTTTATTCGCACTATTTATTCTCTTGTTTTATAATTATCGATAATAATCTCTTTCTATCAAATTTTGACTTACGCGTTGTTTAATAAGTATATATGACAGTATATTATATGCATTACGAACGTTAAATCACTATATATGTATTTAATTATGGGAAAAAGAATACTGAATTTGTTCATTTGAAGAAATTAATTTTTTTTGCTCTCTCGGTGATATAGGATAAAGCTTTTTTTTTTTTTTTTTATCTCTCCATCGCGCGTATAACTCGTGACACATTCATGACGAAACAAACTAAACTTACAGTTTGGTGAAATTATTTCATATGCAAATACGATAATATTTATTATATGTATACTATGTATCGTAGGTATCATAGTTGCAAACAATTTACATAGATAAGGAATTTTTTTTTTTTAAATAATCAAATCTTGAGTTCCTGCATATTGTTTTTAAATTTCTAGAGAACTAGAAACAAGATACATGCTGATTGACATAACGTAATAAGACACTTTTCATCTCGGAAAGTATTGACTCTTTTTGAAATTAACATTTTGGATTTGTATTCACAGAAAAGCAGGCAGCTCTAAAATGTTACATTACAGTTATTTACTAATTAGTAATCAAACAGCGAGTTCCTAGTACTTATTAGTTTCACCGAAATAAGGACGACAAAAATAAAAGTAATGTAGCATTGTACAGTTGATTTTGATTTTTCACATTTTCTCTAAAAAACAAATTCTGAAAAAGTCAATTATTTTCGATAAATAATGAGTATCTTACGTTTAATGTTAATAATTTTGTATATTATTGAAAACAGAGCTATTATTTTATTTTTGTTAATTAATTAAATAATTAATTTTTGGCATTTTTTATATTTTGTAATTGTGTTTTATTTGTTTACTTTTATTTTTCGGTCTATATAATTTAAGCTCAATATGTGCTCGTATATTCTAACAAACATTACTCTCAAAGTTGAAATATCTGAATAGTCATTCTATAATTGTATATATTATACATAATATAACATATACAGGCTGTCCCACGAAGATATACCCCTTCAATATCTCTGGAGTTAATAAAGATAACTAAATCCTGTTTTTGTTTTATATTACTCACAGAGAAGAGGACTAAAAATATTTATATTTTAATACAATTTTTTTTTTATTACAAAAATAAAAAATAACGTTTTATTTTATCATTTTAAAAAAATTTTAAGATAATCATTCTGTAAAGATTATTTTTCTGAAAATTTTAACGTAAGATACATTTATATCCGATGAATAATTTTTAAGTAACATTCATTCTAAATTCTACAAACCCGTGTGAAAACCGATGTTATTTAGGGAATAACCTAATTTTGTTATGTGATAACATCGGTTTTCACACGGGTTTGTAGAATTTAAAATGAATGTTTCTTAGAAACTATTCATCGGATATAAATGTGTGATACATTCAGATTTAAAAAAAAAAAAAAAAATTAACTCATATATTAATATTCCTCTTCCCTGTGAGTAATATGAAAAAAAAAACAGAATTTGATTATCTTTATTATCTTCGGAGATATTCAAGGTAATTTTCATGGGACAGTCTGTATATACTATATATTATTATAATGTATTTTTTGTTTGAAGAAGTCATACGTCACATAATTATATGCCTTGATCCATTTAGAGCGCTTGCATTTAGGTTAGGCCATTCGGTAATTTGGCCGATAAGCAACCATGTCATTATGCCATTTAGTGATTTGAAAAATTGAATTTGCTTGTATTGAAAACTATACGAAATTGATTTGAACCCTTCTTTTCTGTGACCAGAGATATACTATATAATTTATATACCTACCTACAGTCGAGAATTTCGAACCCGAACAGGATTTGTACGCACGTTCAGCTTTCAAACGTCAAATAAAATTATTACATATTATAACACACACGTACCCCGAAAGTTATTTGTTATTTCGGGTGCGGTTGATCCGTTGTCCACCCACTCGCCGCCGCATCGTCATCGCTGCGGTCTCCGGTTACCGCCGTTTCTAATTGGTCGGTGACCACACACGTTTCGCATGCCCTTGTAATCCCCGAAAAGTCGGGGGTTGATAAATTAACGCATGCTGCTACGTCCAGTAGAAAAATGATTAGTCTCTCGCGGCGTATAATATTATTCTTTCGGTTTAAAAATCGGTTGACGCTAACTGTTATAATACAACCACACGCCCGACTGATGTGTTCGTACGTTGGTATATATTATACATAAAATATAATGATATATTACAATATACAGAACAGATTGGATTAATAACAAAGTTAGTGGGCCCGGAGTTGATCCCTTTTAGGGAAGGGGTTTGACTCCCTCCCCCCGAAGAGTGGGTAGACTCATGATACAGGCACCACTATAGTAGGTGAAAAGTTGTGAAAGCATATATTTTATAGTGGACGTATTGAGTAATTTAATATTTAATTTATATCTGTACGCAAGGATAAATAATTGCAGACGAAAATTAATTTTGATCGAAGTCATCTGAATAACTAACCCCTAAACATCAATATGTTAAATTATGCGATTTTTACAATTTTTATAATAATCTGATTTCTTTAATATACAGGAGCATATTTAGGAGAGATTGACACCAGGCGTCATGTATTTTAATGTGTTCCAAACAAATTTGTTCTTATTGAGGGACACAAATAGAATAGTGTCCTGGGGCACTAAAAACGTAAATGGTTTGTTTTAGAAAAAAAAAAAAATTACTACGGTAGTTATGTAAATATCGAAATACAATTATGTAATAATTCATGTTGTCAAATTGTATATTTATTACACAAACGTAACGTTCTTTAAATGTCTATTTTTGGATCAGAGTGCATTCACATGAGTTATTTTTTTCTATACACGCAACCATCGTCTGTATTACTACCTACTTTAGAGGCTCGTTACTGATTTTACATATTGTTCTTGAATTTTGTGAAATTTGTATTTAACATTTTAAAGAACACCCTGCAGATAAGACTTTTCTACTAATCTACTACCCGATACTCATTTAGGGGAAAGGAGTACGTTCGTTTGTACGGACGAAAATGACTTCGTGGAAATAGAGATAACTCATTATAAATATAATATTTTTCCACTATTTATTTAATAAAATAATAAAGTAAAAACATAATTATTAAAAAGGTTAATACTCGTAAATAAATATATAAATAAAAATGTAGATAAAAAAATAAAGTAAATAAATGAATGCGTCAACTGAAATATTATGATAAATGTATTATAATACTCCAAGCGACGCATTCATTCATTTAGGTATTTATTTTATTTTCATATATAAATTTTTTATTTATATATTTATTTACTATAATTATTTATTTATTCACTGAACAACAAATAAATTTAAAACATTTATTCTAAATAATGGTGTACAAAAGCTGTTAAAAAAGTTAAAAACGTTGTTTTTAAGGACGCATTTTAAAGTTCGAGATAAAAATATTAAAAAAATGGAGTTCAATATTAACTGTAAAAAACAAATTATTCATCAAAACCGTGGTTTACCCTATGATTTTAATAAAAAAAAACTCCCATTCATTAAGAATCATGATGAAAGTATATTATACAAATATTTTTAAAAACTAAAATAGGATTAATATTGATAGATAGCTGGAGTTTCTATAATATAAAAGAAGTTATTAATTTCCTCAACGTACACCCTTAATTCAAGTTATCTATAGGCTATGTATCAGCTTTATATAGGTAGACATGCTAAGGTCTAATCTTATATAATAAAATATTATATAAAATCAGAAAAACTGTAATTTCGAATAAAGTCTTACGTAAAACATTAAATTCGTAGTTTTGTTTATATTGTTTCGCGAAATAAATATATTCTGTCATAAAGTCCTAAACATAATAGTAATAAACATTATTTTTCATACCTACCTATATAATTAAATATTTGATTAATATTCAATAATTTTTAATTATTACTACTGTTAATTTTTATATTTAATTAAGTTTCACAGTTTAAATAAATAATTTTGATATAGTTTGGAAAATGGTGAACAAATTTTATATTTTATTTCGATTATTTTTGAGGTTATAAATTCTTTCCTTAGTAGCGGGCAGCCGTTATTTTTAATAATTGCATACTTTTACTGTGTAACACAATAATATTATTATAATATATTCCTCGAAACTTCGATGTAGGTACTAAAAAATAATATCAAATATTGAACCATATTTTTTTTAATAATTTACGTTTAAAATCATTTTGAATCTTGATAAATGGAGCGGAGAGAGACTGCAGGTAAACATCGGATTTTCAAGAAAAATGTGTTCCTATTTAATTAAAATACGTATAAATAATAAAATATTATGGATTAAAACGTTTTAACATGTCGAAAATTATTGTAGTTGGAAAATAGAATAATTATTAGTAATAGGTAGATAGTGGTTAATATTTAAAAAAAATAAATAATATATCACTAGTTAAAAAAAAAAAAAAAAAAAATAAGAGAGAATCGATTAATGGTAAAATTATTATTATATTATTTAGAATGACATTTAAATTTTCCGGATGACCGAAATATAAATTTTAGATTATGAGCATAGTGAAGAAAGGTTTTACTATGATGTTTTTATTTAAACTTTTTTCTGTCAACAACTTTTCTATCAGAAATATTGTTCTGAATACTCTGATTGTCAAGTGTGGCATTTTTTTCTGAAAGAAAATTTTATCTCAATGGAGCAAAATGGTACAAAAAGGTCACTTTTCGATTTTCTCAAGAATTTTCTCATCAAATGCGAAAAACTGAAAAAAGAACGAGCAAATGTAGGCAATATATTTGTATAATATTATGATTTTTTTTCTATGGATAACTTTTCTACCGGTAATTTTGCTCCAACTTTTAACGATATTAATTTTTCTAAAAGGAAATTTTACTGGGGAGGTACTTTAAAAAGGTCGTTTTTCGATTTTCTCCGGAGTTTTCTAAGCAAAT